AAATCAACTGTTCATCTTTTTTTCTTTTTTTTTACCCCTAAGTCACACGCCACTATAATTTCAACTCAAGGTGCAACATTTGACACTTACCCAGTGAGTTTTTTTGCTTACACCCAGGTTGAAATTAATTTGACATTATTTTGAATGCAAATTTTCTAGGCAAGCAGGAAGATTGGCTTAAAAACTTTCTTCCCCACTGTACTCAGAATTACTAATAATGTCTAGTAAAAAGAAAAAGAAAATAAAAAATATCTCTAAATTCAAATTTCCATAAAAAATAAAAATCTTTCAAAATAAAGAAAACTGAATTTATTTGACAGAAGAAAATGACATTTTATGATGATTTTCGTCATTTCTATATGAAATATCCTTAGAAATGAAAATAAAATTACATGATGTCACGTCAAGAAAAATAATCAATATTTCGCATTTTCCCTCCTTGAATGAAAACATTTAAGAAATTTTAAAAAGCAGAAACAAATCAATGAAATCGAAATTTAAGCAAAGAAAAATTACTTTTCGAATTTTACAATTAACTGTCATTAATTTTAAACCGAAAACTCCAGGAACTGTAAATAAACTTTACAAACATTACGAAAAGTACTTAAATGACATTATAAATAATGAAAATAATGCTTACATTTCTTAAGAGCTTTCATAATTCGCGGGTGTAAATCCAGTTTATCCATTTTTCAAATACTCAACTTAAATGATTCAATTAAAAAAATCATAATCTTAACATGTTGAGAAAACAACTTGTTTGCATCGACCGCTTTGAGGGAGTAATAATTATTGTTAATAAATCTCAACTTTTCTCAACTTTAACATTCACTCTACTTTTATAAAATAACTACTTAAAATTCAATGAAAATAATTTAAACAACTTTCAATAGAAAGACAGATACAATTTAGTGATAATCATAAAATTTTAATTTTTCATCTCAGCATTCTCAATATCTGATTTAGTTAATGCTCCCCAAATCGGAATGAAGTTATACCCAACTACACACCGTATATTCGAATCACAATGTTTATAAAATTATATTCATGTTTAAATAAAATTTCGGCCACTAAATATATTTTTAAAAAATAATCAAAGTAGTTAAAAGTTGTCATCATCCATTATTTCATTTTTAGAAGCATTTATCGTTTAAGAAATTGAGAATTTAGATAATAATTCGGATAACAGCCATGCGTAATACTGGTCAATGCGAGTATCGTGCCAATATGGTTGACGTGGGACTCTAGAATAACTTAACATGTCATAGTTGTTTACATTTTATTTTGCGGTAATGTCGTGCCAGCTAACGTTATTGTCTCAGTTCCAAGATATATCTACTATAAAGAGATTTCTATTCCCGTTTTTAAAGGATGCAACACCGGATCCACAAAACACTGAAGGTATATCTTCTTATTTTGTCATCATCGCTATAGCAAAAAAAAAAAATCTGTCTTTTGCTACCTGCATTTATTTTCACGTATGTAATGTCATGTGATCAAAGAATGGTTGTAGCTTTTACAACCATTCCCGGTTAAAATGTTAGTTGTTCTTCCCTTAAACCATATCCTTATCTTAACCTAAAACGTGTTTATGATTTTTTTTTTTTAAAGTATGTTTTTTTTTATATTATTTCGAGTTTGAAATCCAGCTGAGTTAGCTTTCGTCTGTTATCGTGAGAATGGCTACCGTTGTTTCAATTTGTTGAGAGTCGGTGAAGAAGAAAAGAAGTTGAGTCATTTAAAATTCTGTTTCAACTTACTTGAGAATTAATTAATAATTAATAAGGTTCTTTAGAATTTTTAAATAAATTTCCATTCTATGACAGTCTTTAATCGAGTGTGGATGATAATGTCAATTTAGTTACGATACCTCTTCCTCCTTTAAGAAGCTTTTTTCTAGAAACGGACAAAGATGAAATGAAAAATAACGAAGCAACATTTTCATACAAAAATAAATATTAAACATTTTGTAGGTTTTGTAATATCTCAAACAAGACATTCGAAAATGTTTCAATAATTCTGTATCTAAGAAAGCTATTTTTAACGCTTTTCTTTCAAACATAAATTCTTGTAATACCTCCAAAAAAGTCAAAAAGCTCAACAGCTTTCTCAAAAGTAGTTTTATATTGCATTTTATTTTTAAAAATAAGTACTTTACAGTTGCTTAAAGTTTTAAGATAAAAATCGACAATTATGTAAAGTTTTCTTAATGTAATATAAAATTAGCCCTTATTCAGTTGCATCTGTCCCCATAAAGAAAAAAAACGAACTTTTTTTTTTTTCATTTAAAAATATGACCTTTTCTTCTACTCTTCATGTTTTCTGTTAAGTCCAAGTTTGCTCGTAATTTTTTGCTTTTAGTTTTTTGTAAGTTTTGTTTTATCAGGGGCCTAAATTTGTCTTTTTTTTCAAAATAAAAGAATATACTTTTTTTATACACATGGTCAGTGTTTTAAATTAGGGATCAGATCTCAGAATGAAGGTTGGGTTGGGTTGAATTGAATATGATTTTTTTTTTACAGATTAAAAAAGTGTTTTTTAGCGAATGTTTGTTGAAATTATATTTTTGTTGTTGCCATGGACTTTGATAAAAGTTTTTCTTAGAGTAGACAAATTGACAAGAAAAATGGACAATTGTGGGTGTCGTGTTTCCTCCTTCAGGACTTCATTGGATTAAAAAAAAGTAATGTTTTTGTTGAGATATATGCCATGCCCCTCCAGGACGTTGGCGATCATGGCTCTCCACAGTTTCCTTTCTTTGTAGCTCTTTGTCTTTGCTCTCTATGCTAAAAGAAACTGTTCTGGTATCCATTTTATTTTTAGCTCATTAGATAGATTTATGCCCTGTTTTCTTCTGTCTCTCTGGCCTTCAATTTTTTTCAATATGTCATGTGAGTGTCAAATTTTCCAAGGCCTCTATCCTCATTTTGTACCCTAGAAATTTCAATGTTTCTGATAAGTAGAAATGTCCTTTTTGTTTCCATTCTCCTTTCTAAAACTTTGTCATTGTTCATGTCAGGTCCATAATTCTGAGTGCTGAGAATAGTATTCTCAGTATCCATCTGTAGATCCACGTTTCTATTTCCTTAAGCCTTTTCTTCATCTGTGAGAAAATTGTTTAGCATTCACTACCATATATGAGTACTGAACAGTCTAGTACTCTTTTCTTTGTTTCTAAAAATTATTCTGTTTCTTAATACTTTGCTTGTCTTTTGAAAGACATCTTTCACTAGCTCAATACACCTTTTGGATTTCAGTGTTGCACTTATAAATTCTGTGTATATAGGTTTTCAGTTTCAATGGGAATATTTCATCACTATATATATAAATTTAGAATTATAATGTGTACTCTGTATTCAGAAAAGAAACTAAAATGGACAATACTTTTTTTTTTCCTGAATTTTTAAAAAACATGTAACATATGTCTGAATTTCTGGGATGAGTAGTTATTATTTACACTATATATATTTGGACTATTGTCTTCATCTTTGTTGTTGTTATCACACTGTTTTGGCTGTTGTGCCTCAGGTGTATATTGATCTGGGTAATCTACAAGGAATTCTGAACTGAACTCCTTTAATCTACAGGAGTAGGCTGTTCTTATTCTACTGCCTACATGATATTGACCGTTCTTATATAATTAAATATCTTATTTATTGCCCGTTTCCACTGCTCAACTTAAGGATAGAACTCACAACCACTATGTCACCAAATGAACCAATCTCTATCTATAAAAGGCAGGATGTGTGTGTGTGTGCGTAACAAATGCATGGCTGCAATTTTTAACGGATTTGCACCAAAATTTACATGCACATGCTCCAACTGGTCCACTCATAAAAAATTGTGAAATATTTTTGAGGAAATAATTTTTGTAGATTAGCATCCTTTAAGCTTTCCCTAGGTTGTAACTCTTGTCAGAATAAAAAAAAATATTGATTTATCGATTTAGGAGGGTCTTGTTTATAATCTTGATACAGTGTCAAATTGATCCCTGATTTTGAAGAGTTATTGGCTAAGTCACCTTGCTAGTATTTACAAATGTCAGTGTGCTAGCATCATTGATATTTCCATATTTCTTAAATTTTCTTAAATTTTTTAACATTATTATTTTTTTTTCTGTGGAATTTATTTGGAAGCCCATGCACAAACATTTGAGGTTCATAATTATTTGTCTTAAGAATAATTGATTATATGCTTTTATTAATTTATGTAAATTTTTGTCTTTTACTTAAAAATGTATATATCCATCTGTTCGTTATTTAAGAGAAGTCCTCTTGTAGCCCCAGCTCAAAAAAAAAAAAGAAGTTTTTTTCATGCACAAAATAGTTAAGGTCAATAAATCTGTAAAAACCAGGGTTCAATTTGGTACTGTACCAATATTATAAACAGGATCCTTCCTCTAAATCGATAAAAAAAAATAAAATATTTTTTTATTCTGATAAATATTTCAGGCTTAGGAAGATCTAAAGAAAGCTAATCTGCAAAAATTATTTCCTAAAAAATTTTTTCCCTATTTTTGAGTGGATCAGTCTGCAAAAGTAGTGCCCAACTTGAATTCAATTTGCCTTTCAACAAGAAATAAACATAATTCCAAGCTACTTCTACCTATTAAGTCCATATCTGATCAATATCAATTTGGTCACCATAGAGAAAGAGTCTGATGTTGTTAAACCTGAAACCCCTAATTATCCACATGAAAAACATCATTGATGATGTGTGTGAGAGCATCTGAAAAAATGTATTTGATGGAACTATGTTAAAAATTATAACTTTTTGAATAATGTCCACCCCTCATTTTTGTTTTTTTTTCTGATAAGTTATATATATATTTTATTTGTAATCAGTGAATTACAATTAAGAGTCTTTGGTATAATTGTACAGGGTAAGGCAAAAGTCATGAACCATAGGTGATAATATGAATGTAGCAAAATGACAGGAAACTCTCCCATCCTGGGTAAGACGTTAAACTACATCCGCGTCCTGAGTAAGTGGTTAAACTACGTCCAGCAACAAGGCCTCTGATCAGGAGGTTTTGAGGAGCATGGAACCACCTCTTAATTGCTGGTGTTTCCAGGTCCACCCTAACCCGAGGTGGTAGCACCTGTTAGGGACCCAGCTATGGGCAAATAGTTAACTATTACCAGCAATACAATTTTGAAGGAAATATATTACCAGAAACAGATTTTTGACAAAACAAAATATTACCAGCAATAAAAATTTTTGTCAGCATTAAATAACCCGTTGAGGTTAATATGCCGTAAAACAAAATAAACCAAACCAAAGCAGGAAAATCTCCAACATGTTAATGAATCATGAAGGCACAGAATTGAAATGTTTTGAAAAAGGAAGAGGACATTTTGAACAGCACGTATAACAATTAAATAACTAGTAAATAAAATTTTCCTGTGTAATTATATTTTTAATAAATTACCCTATGGTGCATGATTTTTCCCTCACCATGTATAAAACAATAACTTACATTGTATCATCCTTAGTGACAAGTGAAACAATGATCCTTGTCCAGCTTTTCCATTGATAATTTTATAGAAATATTATATTTGGTTTACAGATGATACATATGCAGTTTGAGCCTGATTGACAGATGGGGTTGTCGTTTCTAATGGCTAAATGGAGGTTTTTGAAAATCTTGCCCAAGATTCTACTCTGCTGAAGCCTTTGATATGTCTTTGGTAGAAAAGCAATGCATTTAACCCTCTGGTTTCACCAGGTAGATGTGCAATTCCTCTTGGATCCTGTGTACTCAATTAGACCATCTATACAGTTCACAGTAGAAACGGAAGACAATTTCCTTTCTGAACATTCAACTGGCTAGAGATACTGATGGCATAGTGGTTAATGTTATGGCAAGTGGAAGTGGAAAAATGAGACAATTTGTAGTCACATTAATGCCTTTTGGAGAGGCATGGATACATCTCTCCAGTCATGGCTAAAATACAAGGTAAGACTGGCCTCTCGAGCCTTGGTTAGCAACCAGTCTGAGAGAAGGATGGCTCTTAATTGAAAATTTCTATTCCCCTGAAGCCACACTCACTCATGAAAAATGTTTCAAGAGTAAACCATGAGAACAAGTCCAGAGCTGGAGTCCCTAAGACAGTCCAATGCTGTGTCCTACCAACTCCTGCAGTGGTTGGTGTTAAGCTGTATTGGTTGTTGTCCTTCCCTTGGTTAACATTGACATGGAGAGGAGAGATTTACTGCACAATAAACTCTCTGCCCTCAAGACAAACTTTGCACAAGCCTGTGCACAGGATAATAAAACTTTCCAGGCACAAAGCCATAGTCTCGGTCAGATGCCTCGGAAAAAGGTTTGTGATCAACAAAAAATAATGGTGAAAATACAAAAAAATTTGGTGTGTGTTTTTTAAGTTTGCTTAATATTT